ATTTTGAATATTATGTTGATTATACCTTTTACACTCATTCTCACTGATTTAACTAGTGCCTGGAAACTGGAAACATCTTCGAAGTTTTGATCAGACGCTGCAGGTTAAAGTGATTGGAAACTACCGAGAACTTAAGTGAAATTGAAAGTGAAATTAAAAGTGAGAGTTTTGACAYACCTTAGGATTACCAAAGTGCTCAAACAAAATCTCAACAAATCAAACATTTTCTCGAAACATAAAACGACCGAGAACAAGAGAACAGACAATTGGAATGTGAAATTGAAATTGGAAGTTTGGCACACGTTAGGGGTTGGCATGTATCTAGCAGATTGGGAAGTAACATTATAAAAATAGGTGAACATCATAATTAAAAGAGGGGGAAAGTTCCACTCTATTAACGAAAAATAGTCCAAGGTAAAKGTGCAAAAAATATTATAGCAAAATCTTACCTAAATTAAAAGTTCAGTGTCGGAGTATGGAACTTCTTTTGCTTCGCAATTGGACACATTTAGTTTATATAGCATTTTGCCCCAAAGTGAATTATGGGATGTCACTCAAGACAGAAATATAATTCCGTGAAACGAATAATTTTTTTTTGTTGTAAATATTTTATTAACCTACAACTGGTACATGAGTTCCAATTGCTTAAGTGTTAAGGGAATGATATCTGTATATATCGATAATTTTGGTAMTTCAATTAATTACAATTATTATAATGTATACGTAAATGGAATAACATTTATTTGACGATGAAAAAAATTAGACCCTGGCTAATGTAACTTCCTTACAATTTAAATTAGGGCTATATTTTTTAATTCATGAGTTAAAAATCATCAAAATTTAATGCATTTCTTTTCTTTCGAACCTTTTCTATCGTAGCATATTGACAATTCTTTTGTTTGGGTAACTAAGTCTTTTGTCTTCATTTTAAAAGTGGGAAATCAAAATCGATCTGTTTTCATGTGCTGAAATTTTGTAAACTGCAATATCACACCTGCCTATCATCTACCAGAATCCTCTATATGTATGTTTCAAAGTTTTCTTACTCAAAAGTAACTAAATACATGTACGCGTGGAGGTCCGTGGAGATACGAATTTTATCTTCGAGTACCGAAAATATCTCTCAAGAGTGACCGTAGCGAGCAAGCGACAAATATTAAAAATGGTGTTACTTAGCACGCCGTAGATACGTAATAGAGTTATTCCGTGTTTATCGGTTTTGTTACCGTTGATATGTTAATGTACGTACGAAGTGGTACCATAGTAGCCTCCTTCGGATGCAACTCTACTCTGTGGGATTCCTGTGTTAAGGCCAAAAAAGCTGTCGGAGGATTGGATTGGATTTGGATTCAACTTTGATTATTGTTATTGAAATTATATCAATAAGACAACTGGCTCACAAATATTAAATAGCTTCCTGTGGAAGACCACCGAGTTCTCACCAGTTCACAACCGATCGTTCATGATCATATCAAAATTATCACAAATGACAATACAAAGGACAGTAACAAGACAAACTATGCTGAAGTGAAGTCCTCACAAGATATGGAAAGTAGCAAGATATCATCCTAAAGAGATCAACGGTAGAACGGACCCGTTTAATAACTAGTTCGACTTTAAACGAGTTCACAAATTCAAATATTGCCAAATAAGTATCACTCCAAGCTACCCAAAAACTAACACAACGTTACTGAATAACTGACATGAAAACTGACTCTATCAATGCTGAAACGAAGACATCTGATGCTATGGAATTCAAGAATCTTCATGAGAAAGGGATTTACGGAGAATTTAAGGCGAATTAGAAAGCCGCTACTTGTAGGATTTATATTTCTATACTCCAAGTCGTCAATCGTTCAGTCTAGTAAATCAATACTTTAAATTGTTTCTTCTATTGAATATTTTGATCTTTTTATAGTGTGTTATAGTGATTGTGTTCAGTTCTTATAAAGAATGATTTAATAACATTCTTATGGTCTTTGTTATAAGCTTACAAATCATTGTACTTTAAATATTAAATATAATTGTTTCGATGTGCAATCGACTTTGGGATTTCAATATCACAATTCTTTTGTATACTGATAAAGTTCAAGACGGCCACGAATGAATTCATAGTGGAATTCTGCTCGGTTTACGAGCACCTCTAGATCGTTTTCAGTAGTGAATACTTGCAATGATGTCGGTCATCATAGTATGGGCTTTATATTAGTTGCCTTGGATCGACAAACAATCGTACGAAAATCGTCAGTAGCTGGGACTGAAAAAGAAATACATTTGCTGCACGCATTTTAGAACGTATAGCAGTTCCCCCTGATCACGTAAAAAGATAGTCGCAGCCTTTTTAAACCGTGCCGTCGACCCTCGGCCTGGGCATGGTAAAAACATTTATTTAATGAATATTATAAACGTTACAAGTCACCCCAAAACGATACAAAGTGAAAGTGATTACCAGTCTTACATTTAACTTCTCCCTCTTTATTACTGACTTATTTGACATGCACGTGTTTTAATGATGATTTTTCGAAGTGCGCTTTGTATATTGTCTACGCTAAAAAAGAGTATACAAGTTCAGTGTTTTTTTCTACCTCATTCCATCATTGTTTTCTTTGATTTGCTGGTATATATTTCAACAGTGTGGTTTACACCGTCAAATTCTTTGCCATTATTGGAAAAATTTTTATTAAGAATATCATGAAACTGCTTTTCAAATGCGTCTTTATCACCATTACTTGCTGTAATTACTCCTCCATACGAGAGGAAATGCTTGACGCATTGAGATTGGGTGAGCTTTTGAAAATGTTTAAACTGCAAGTGACTTTTAACTTTACAAAAATATCCTGAATTTTCTAACACTTTTTTCCACTTCCAATCATGTTCGAAAGGCACTTGGGTCTTCTCGTAAGCCTGGTGCACAAGTTTGTAGGCATCGAGCATCCATTGTGGGCTATCTATCNGTAGCATATTGACAATTCTTTTGTTTGGGTAACTAAGTCTTTTGTCTTCATTTTAAAAGTGGGAAATCAAAATCGATCTGTTTTCATGTGCTGAAATTTTTTATATGGTAATATATCTGTTTCTGTCGTGTAAAATAACTTTGCAATCATTGAATACTTATGAGTGAAAATTAAAATTGTTCAATAATGACAGAACTTAAATTCATGAGAACGAAATTTTCATAAACATGAACAAAAAAGTATTCTAGAAAAAAATATTCTAGACACCTGATAGTACTATAAACTAGTCATAGCTACCGCTAAGTGCCAACGAGGAGATGATGTTTTCCAGAAATTGTCATGAAGGGGATTTAGCGCGACATTAAACAAATAGATGAAATATGTCACATAATTAGAAACTAAGAAAACAGTTAGCGTCATGTGAAGTTTGTTGTCTTTTCGATCTTATCCTGGATGGGTCTCCTCCATGATGTCAGTTTATTATAAGCGTCAGATTTTTATGTAGACTCGGTCAAGATATCATTGCAATGTTAATGGTTTGTAGTAGCCTATTGACTCTTCCAAAGTCGCTTTCGAATCGTTGAAGTACGCCATAGCTAAAGGAAGAAACTGTTGAAGTTAAATTACTGAAAAGACCATAAACGGTGAGTAAATTAGGTCTCTGTTCCTTCATTTTTTTGTATTGATCTGTGCAGTCGCAAGCGACTTGTGATGCCAAGACCACGAGACTATCGTGGCTTCTGATTGGTTTAGATCGGAGTTCTATTGTGTGCTCCAATTGGTTGACTGGTAATTGCATTGCGTTGCATTGCATTGCATTGCATTGCATTGCAACCTTTTCGTGCATCGGCTCTATGATGCTGCCGCCTCGCCAGCCTTGCGTCTTCGCTCGGCTGGCTCGTTGGCAATAATTGTTTCGATGTGCAATCGACTTTCAATATCACAATTCTTTTGTAGACTGATAAAGTTCAAGACGGCCACGAATGAATTCATATTGGAATTCTGCTCGGTTCACGAGCGCCTCTAGATCGTCTTCAGTAGTGAATACTTGCAATGATGTCGGTCATCATAGTATGGGCTTTATATTAGTTGCCTTGGATCGACAAACAATCGTACAGAAATCGTCAGTAGCTGGGACTGAAAAATAAATACATTTGTTGCACGCATTTTAGAACGTATAGCAGTTTCCCCTGATCACGTAAAAAGATAGTCGCAGCCTTTTTAAACCGTGCCGTCGACCCTCGGCCTGGGCACGGTAAAAACATTTATTTAATGAATATTACAAACGTTACAAGTCACCCCAAAACGATACAAAGTGAAAGTGATTACCAGTCTTACATTTAACTTCTCCCCCTTTATTACTGACTTATTTGACATGCACGAGTTTTAATGATGATTTTTCGAAGTGCGCTTTGTATATTGTCTACGCTAAAAAAGAGTATACACGTTCAGTGTTTATTTCTACCTCATTCCATCATTGTTTTCTTTGATTTGCTGGTATATATTTCAACAGTGTGGTTTACACCGTCAAATTCTTTGCCATTATTGGAAAAATTTTTATTAAGAATATCATGAAACTGCTTTTCAAATGCGTCTTTATCATCATTACTTGCTGTAATTACTCCTCCATACGAGAGGAAATGCTTGACACATTGAGATTGGGTGAGCTTTTGAAAATTTTTAAACTGCAAGTGACTTTTAACTTTACAAAAATATCCTGAATTTTCTAACACTTTTTTCCACTTCCAATCATGTTCGAAAGGCACTTGGGTCTTCTCGTAAGCCTGGTGCACAAGTTTGTAGGCATCGAGCATCCATTGTGGGCTATCTATCTCGCTTGGGAGGTTTGTTATAAATCCTAACATCCCATTGGGCTCTAATACACGATACATCTCGCGATAAGCTTGTTGATTCGCAAACCAGTGATAGCTGGCTGCTGCTAG